ATAAAGGGTCTTCAAATTTTTGATGATGCCCATGTCCATTGACTGGACTAAAGCTGTGGTCCTGGGAGGTTGAAATTCCAGTTGGATGTTCTTCAAGCAATCTAAATGAGGATGTGCTGCACAATTGTCAAGAAAAAGCAGCACTTTTATCGACTGGCGTTGTAGCTCTCTGTCCCAATTTTTCAGCCATTCTTTAAAAAATTCAAAGGTCATCCACGCATTTCTGTTCGCATGATACACAACTGGTGAACTGTCCATCCTAAGTCCTTTAAAGCAGCAAGGCTTAGTGCTTTTTCCTATAATCAACAGCTTCCTCTTGTCCGTTCCTGACATGTTTGAGCAGCACAAGACAGATAGGCGATCCATCGCTTTTTTGGAGCCAGAGAGTGCAACATATTTGTAACTTAACAAGACGTTTGGTGTAGCACAATAATACAGCCCAGTTTCATCAGCATTGTAGATGTCATCTGCTGAAAAATTTTCAAGAAGCTCGACCAGTTTTGTTGATTTCCATTCTTCAGCATCTGCACTATGAGCACTTTCTTTCTTCGTCCATGTGCTTTCTTTGAATTTTATGTCATGTTTAGATTTCCTTCAAGACAACCAACTGTTCATAGCTTTAAAGTCATCGTGGTCCAGCTTTTTAGCGAGTTCTTCTGCTTTGCATTTTAACATTGGGCCGCTTACTCGCACAGCTCATCCAGTAACAATGGCAAACCATTCATTAAAGGTCTCATCGACGTCTGGATCCTTGCCTTCACGCTTCCGTTTTTTGGAAGTTCCTCCTCGTCCTTCACATTGTGCCCATTCTTCTCGCAGCTCATTCTCTTGTTTTATCAAGCGCGAAATTGTAGTCTTTGCCAATCCGGTAATTTTCAACAACCGACGCTGACTAGTGTTTCATGGTTGTTGCTTGATCTTATCCAGGAAACCAATTTTTTCAGCTAACATCAAGTCTCATCTTGGCATTTTGGCAGAGAAGACGAAGCATGTGTACAGTTCACTGACTAAAGTGGTCTGAAGAAACCTTGCTGTATCGGGGTTAAGATGGAGACAAAATGCTCACCATCAAAGCTTTGGCACTAAAATCATCCTAAAAGGGTGGTGAAATGATAGCTTTCTCGAGTAAACTTTAATCAAGATTGACAGGCGGGAATTCCTTTCATGTGGAGCCAGACACTCTATTGTTCATTTCCTCGAAAATCGGAGATGCAGTGGGACCAATAACCTCGCTGGCGACTACTGGTAGCTCTGTTTTAAGAAAGGTAAAAGAAAATGGTGCGCATGTTCACCTCCCACTGGTTTTGCTCTTGTCATGCACTTATAAGAAATTCCTGACCTTTGATAAGGCATTCTCATGGGAAGTGCAGCTACAGATCTTCTGATATGTCGTGGACTACCTGTACATCCACTGTACAAAGCCGACTTGTGGCTTCTGTTTTTTATCCCAACATTTTTTGGTTTGATTAAATGGAATTTCGGTCCAAATAAGCAAATAATATTAGGCTTATGTGCATAGGATTTGTTTCGGTTCTTTAGAATTCAGTCGAAAAGCGGCTGGTCCGATTATCTGGTGATCCAATTAACCGGATTCGACTGTATTTGGTGATGGTTGTAAAAGCAGGCCCTGAAGCAATTGTACATGGCCCACTGATACATTTCCCATAAATTTTAAATGTTATGAAAAGAATCTTAAAAATGGTTTACAATTTTAATGATTTTGCATTCAATTCGATATTATTTTCATGACCATTAAAAATGAATGAGAGTAATGCCCAGAAAATCTACAAATAGAGTTAATTAATTTACACTTTTATATAAAACTTATTCAGAGATTTGATTGAATTTTTATTATATTTGTTAAAAGGTAAATACTCCCACTTACAAGTTTTTGCAATACGAATAATCACTTTCTTTGAGAGTACACTTAATGTGTGAACAGATTCCCCCCCCCTGCACTTAAAAATTAAAGTCTAAAAAAAGACCAATGATCATCTAAAATTTGTGATGAAGATACTTTCTAGTTACTTTCCTCCGAAAAGAAGTTTATAATTAATTATATACAAACGTGTCCATTTTTTGTGTGTAAAAAAATTAGTAAATGAAAGAAGAACAGATTGTCATTTTTTATTGGGAGAATTTGTCCCACTTGAAAAGTTTTTGGTCGTTTATTTTAGGTTGTAAATAAATAAGTTCTGTATAGGCTTATCGAATACATTGAATTGTTTGAAATAAATATCAGTCTGAAAGTTAATATTTGGCTCTCAGTACCTTTGAATTACAAAGTGTAACCATGATAAATTTTTAACAAATACCGAACCTTCAGATTTGACACAGAAAATATTTTGTTATTATTACTGTTTACACCTGTTTTGATAAATATTTGGTAAATAAAATTTAAAATTTTGTTTTGTTTAAAAAAAATGTGTTCCATCAGCTGCTCTCAGAACATGCATTTGGCCCATTAGCAGCTTAAGATCTCTAATGCAAGTAATATTAATGTTGAAATTATGCAGTTTAAAGAGTTTTATTTTAAGCAGCTACTATTTTTAGGATGAAAAGGTAAAATTAACCAAATTAAAATGGAGAGTTAAGGGACTTTGGCAAACTAAAGTTAGAATTTTCGATACAGTTACAGAGTTTGTCTGAAAAGTAGTGGGACTGAATTTTAAAAAAAAAATTTTATTCACAATTTTGACGCATCGAATTAATAGCTTTCAAAATATGTCCCTTCTGCATCAACACAGCGTTTCCAACACCTCTACCAATCATTGAAGGCTCCTTGGAGTGCAGAAACTGGAATGCTCTTCAGCTCCCTCATTACGACCTCTTGAATGGCCTGGACCCTTTTATGACCTTACGACTCTTTTCAGTCAGGGGAAGAAGCAGTCTGAAGGAGCAACATCTGGGCTGTAGGATGGCTGTTGAAGCTGTGTGATGCCGTATTTGGTCAGGAAATCTGTGACAGCAAAGGCAGTGTGGCTTGGCACTTTGTCGTTATGGAACCTGCATGATCCAGTGATGATGCGGGTGACTCATTTTCTGAGTCTTTCAAGTACAAGTACAGCCCAGATGTTGTTCTTTCAGACTTCTTTCTTTTCCTTTACTGTAAAAGGATCAAGAAAGGATGGCACCACAGCTCGGTTCAGGCCATTCAAGAGGCCGTAATGAGGAAGCTGAAGAGCATTCCAGGGAAGAAAAGAGTTGAAGAGCTTTTTGCATTCCAGGGAGCCTCCAGCAATTGGCAGAATCAGACGAAATACTGTGTTGATGCAGGAGGAGCATATTTTGAAAACTATTAAGTCTATGTGTCAAAAATGTGAATAATTTTTTCAAAAAAATTCAGTCCTACTACTTTCTGGTCAAACCCTGTAACTTTTATCTCACATACTCATGTGTGTGTAACAACAACTTGGCACATTTTTATTAGATATATATAATAAAAAAAAATTATAAATAGGAACACTGAGATGTAGAAATGCAGATATACTGATGGCGAAGCATGTAGCTTAGAAACACGGAATGTAGACTAAAGAGGAAACTGGCAGTCAAGGTGGATTAAATTCCATTTTTATTTAAATTGACATCTATGGCTACAATTTACTTGGCAATCTAATCTTGCGTATTTAAGAACATTTACATTTTAAAAACTGTTGTGAAAGGAAGAGAGCACAGCAAAATAGTGTCATTACATGAAAAGAGTCTGAAGCTAAAGTGCGCAATTATCCAATATGGAAGTTCACCAAGAGAAGGTTTTGTTTTAGGTTAGAATGGTTTCAGTTCTCAAAATTTTGAGCTCAAGTTCCAAATTAATTATATCATCAGCATTATGCAAGCCATGTAACATAGATTGATCTAGAAATGACACAATCCAGGAAAGTTATTACTATTTTTAGAGTAGATAGGAAATACCCAAATTAAAAATGATGTTAAACATGCCTTTTGCTAAATTGAATTATAAAGCTGATTTACATATTTTTATCTTACATATATATGCAATAAAAAAGAAGAACTTTGCAAAATTGATGGTGTAGATTATAGAAGATTGAATCTATAATGGAGAGCAAGAATTTTGATGGCGTAGAATGCTGAAATGCCAATCCACAGTAAATAGGAAACTGGAAGCTGAGGGAGATTAAGTCATCATTTTATTTCAGTAAAGATGTTGCAGCCACAAACAACTTGGCACAACATTTTGAATAATTTTGGAGTAAGAAGCAAGCAGTAGAGAGCAGGAAGAGAGCGAAGCAAATGCATAATGTTTAGGATAAAATCTTAATTAAAATTAGTCTAAGTTAGTTTTGGTTCTCAATGCATTTTGATTGGATAATTAATACTTCTGTAACATTATTATTGGTTGTTTGAATTCCATTTAAATCGTCAAAATTATGTAAGAGTCATACAACATGAATTAGTCTTGAAATGACACAGTGCAAAGAAAGATTGCTGTTTTTAGAAGGGAAAATAATTTATGCTGCTAATTTAAATCCTAATTTATCTTTTACATATTCTATATTTTTCTTATATATATATACACACGCACAGGGAAAGTGAAAGTTATATTTGGGTGGTTTCATGGTGGACATTGGTTCTTTACATTTGCATTGTTTTGATAAAATTTTCAGATTCTAAATCAGTTTATCATATATTTTTCTCCCCTCTTACAACAGTTTTAGTTTGTATTTTATTTATGTATTTATCTATTTTGGGCATGCAATTTATTTTCCTGCTTTATATTACCTCATAATGGAAATGTCAACGTAAAATTTGTATGTGCGAAGTATTAATATGCTCTACATGTGTCTGTTTTTGAAAAGATTTTCTTCTTGCATGTTTAAAAAATTATTTAATTGTTTTTAGTTTTCTTTTTAATTTATTTTTGTTGATTTCTCTTTCTTTTCCTTTTAAAAAAATTATTGCACTTTTAATTTTTACTGTAACAACTTATTTTTAAGCACAAGCACTGCATGATATATCATTTTATGTTTTCTCTACTCAAGGAAGTTTATCAGAAGATCAAATATTAGAGTGGCAAATGTATTCTATGCACTTACCTAATGATACTACTTTATTAACTTATAATGGAAACCAGCGGAGGCCGATGTCAATTGCAGGTTAGTTTGAAAACTGTAAATGTTATTTCTTAGAAAGCTTACAATTTTGTGATATCTGAAAAAAGAATCTGTATTACTTCTGAAGTAAGGAATATTTGTATTATAAATATAATGGTAGCAAAATGTTAAAAAAAACTGCAAATCAATTACACATCTCTAACAATTTTTAGCCACATTTATAATTAATTTGTTCAAGCAAACTGTTATAGAGTGCTTTTAAATACCTAATTAGTTTTTTCTTTATCTATTTATTAATTTAGTTTTTCAAATGCTCATTCTGTCTATTTCCCACTGGTATGCTATTTAAGCTTCATTTTAGGAATTAATTGTATCCTACATTTCACACGCTTATTGTACTCGCAAATATTGTGCATCATGTAAAAATGAAAATAGAGTAACTGTATTTACAAAGTTTTTTCAAAATTGATGAGTTTTCTTGTGAATTTCAATTCTAGTGAAGCTTGTATATAGTAGTTAGCCAAAATGGTTACAGCAGACCTTTGACTTGCATCCATTAAAATATTGCTTTCTTATGAAAAGAATTTGAATAGAATTCTTTGTTTGATTTTGTAGCCAGTATCTGATGTTATGAATTCAGTGATTAAGAAACGCCCTCCCCCCCATTAAATCCAGCTGACTTCAGACAGCTTATTGTAAACATATATATAATAATCGACCTCCACACTCAGTAGATCTGACATCAGAGGAGTACTTTCTCTTCCTTAAAATGAAAGTCATTTTAAAGGGACAGAGAATTTCAGAAACTCTGGAAATCATAACAATAGGATTAAAATGTGTTTAAAGAACTGATTTTTATGAAGCAGTCAAAGTATATATTCCAATACATGTACAGTATTAGAAAGAATGTGTTTAGATGGCTAAACAATGATAAAGGTTTCCCCTCCTAAATACTGCCTTTTAAGAATTTATTCTTAATACAGTCAAAAGTCTTTAATCTGGATTATAGATAATCAATTTAAATCTGGTAAGATGATGCAGAAATTATAAAATTAAAAATATGAAACCGTATTTTTGAAATAAAGGGCAATTATGATCTAAAGGGTTCAAAATTTACAAAAAAAAGCTTTATATTTATTTGTTTATTATTAACGGTTGATCTGTACTTACGGTAACTGGTAGTTTGGCGACATTTTGGAGGCGATAAAGGTTACTACCTGGGACTTGGTAATAATGTGAGCAGTAACTAGTTCCGATTACGCATTATTTTGTGTGGGGGGAATGAGAGATCATGGGATATGTCATGTGATATTAATGGACGAATTACGGTTCTTTAATCGGTAAAGGGGGGAAATCGGGAAAAAAATCTGAAATTTTGTATTTGGCTTATTCTGTGTTGTGTGAAATAGTGTTGTGAATTTTTGGATCCCATGGCCCTAAGTAAGTGAATTCGAAATGGGTATTTAGTGGTATGAAAGGATGTAAAGAAAGTTTTTTTAAGGTTGTGTGAGAGAGAATAAGATGTTTTATTAATTATTTATTTACTGGTATCTTGCTTTGAAAGATAAGTATGATTTTAAAGATTCTGAAAGAGAATGAAGAAAAGTGTATCCGCCACGTAATAAGATTCTGAAGGAGATTAGGTAAGTTAGTATTTTTAATTTATTTTTATGCATTGTTGGAAATGTAAGGTGGAAAGGAATTTGGTATTATTGGGAAAATTGTTATTAGCAATGATTTAGTTTAAAGTAATTAGGATTGTAAGGTAATTTTTATTAATTAATGTATGTGCTCATTTATATTTTAAGTGTGTTTTTGAATTTAATTATATTTTAATGAAATGATAGTTATTTTGTGAATTTTATGTTTGTAGGAATTTGGTATACGTTTAAGTTGAAAATAAACGTGCATGGAAATAATTTAAATATTTGATACTAAGTATTTGTAATGCTTGCATTTATGTATGAATTCGTTGGTGACGTGTATAATGTAATAGATGATTTAGAGGTAAAAGTTTTTGGATATTTTATTTATTTTATATGTGGAAATGTTCATATTTGTAAAGGGTAAATACTTTTTTTCGCGATCAGGTAATTTCATATATGTTCTTTTTACCGGGTTTAAAGATTGAGAAAATTGTCATGTATTTTCGTGAAATTTTTTTCTAATTTATGAGAAAAAAGCAGTGTACATGGATATAGTGAAGAGTGTGCGCAATGCCATTTTTGTGCAATTCTGGGATGTTTTTTTAAGTAAAAATAAGTCGGCGTGTACATGGTTTATGTGTATGTGTTATTTTGAAAAACGCGTAAGGAGTATGGTATTGTGCACTTTTTCCCAATTTTGCAGTGAATATTTGTCATGATTAAGCAGTTTTGTTTGATAAAATTTCTAGCATAAGTGTAATTCGGCTAGTAGATTGTTGGAAGAAGTGTTCAGTAGATAAGAAGAAAAGAAACATGTCTTTACTTCGTGAAGACAAAATGGCGGCGGGGAAAAAAAAAAATAGAGGGTTGCTGTAGGAGAGTGGTCGCCAAATTTTCGCCAAAAAAACGCCAAGTTACCGTAATGTAAAGATCAACCTATTAAACATTTCTTTCAACGCGTGCCAGCGCAAAGCATACATTACGCATATCAAAATTGAGAAATTGCAACCAGAAAACTTTTGATGTTACCGTATATTTATAATGATGAGGAATTTGATTTAAATCATCAAGACGGAGTACATTGAGAGAAATACTACATTTAGTAAGAATTATAAGCCGAATAAAATAAAAAGATCTGCCCTGAAGATAAGGATAGTGCTAACAGATCAACTTCCAGTTCATTGCCCCCCCCCGCGCGTGAAGAGCAGCGTGAAATTGATAAACATTTCGGAATGATTAGAGAATCAAAGGTATACTTATCCATTTTTTGAGCAAATTCCAGTTTTTTTTTTTTTTTTTTTTTTTTTATGGACATTGGAACATGCTTTCACTTTGTAGATCCTTAGGTAGCTCCAGAATCGGAAATTCTTTTTGAAATAATCGAAAGTTCAAGCTTATTTTTATGAAATTTCCCTAACAATCTGCGAAAAATAATAAGCTGGGTCCAATTAGAAGATTAAGGAACAACGCAATCTGCAACATTAACTGAAATAGATAATTTTAGTTTAGCTTATACCGTCCGTTATACATTAAACACGCATGCTGCATAAACCTATTGTGTGCATGCATATGTGCATGTGTGAAGGTATTATGCGCATGCGTAAATGCATTTACGCATGCACAGAAAGTTTGCAGCTTTGAGGTCCGGATTATCGATCATTCCGGATTATGGACGTTCGGATTAAAGACTTTTGACTGTATTTTATAAATACATTCTTTATTTTAACATTCATTATAGTAAGTTAAACAAAAACTCAAAATTGAATGAGCTCAGAATCATTATACAATTAACTAACTTCATTTCAATTTTCTGGAGATTAAAATGAACTTATTATTTGCAATCATATGTACTTTTACAGAATATTTTCGTTAATAAAAATTATAGCATCAAAGAACAATATGAAAAAAGATAAATATACCAAATCATTCCTTAATGTTGTATTTTTAATATATATTTGGCATTTAGTGACAATTATAGTGATTATATAGTAAAATCCTGTATGCTTGTTATGTAATTATGGGATTCCAAGTCCTATATATTCAGTATGTGGATTAAAAAAATATAAGAACGAGTTCTCTGTCTGAGAAAGTGGTGAATGTTTCTTGTTTCTATAAGTTGCCTTAATATATATCAACTTCAGAATATAAAATTTAGTTTTAACAATCATTGTAGTGAACTAAAATAGTTTTAAAAGTGCAGCTAAGTGTCACCATTGCTAATCTTTCTTCAGTTGAATGACTTTTGCAAAGTGGAATGCAGAAATAAGCAGTAAATTTTCATTTCTAAAGTTAGGAGTTTTAAAAGTACTTAGAAAAATACTCTCACCTATTAATTGAGTCCATTATCAGTTTTATATCTACATAACATATTTTAGGGGCAACTAACATAGATTCACTTTCTTTCAAAGAGGTTGGGGATTTGCGCAGTTGGTTGTTTTTTTTTTTTCCTGATTTTACATCAAGTATACATTGATACAGTTATATCCTAATTTTAGTGTCAATACTTCAAGTTTAAAATTTCTTCAAGTGTTAAGAGAAAATATATATAACTGCGTAGTAATTAATAAAATTTCAAGAATTGTTTAATGTAAATAGTGTTTTAGTGTAGTTTCAAGTATTGTTTTAGTCAAATATGCTCTATTCATTCTGTTGAAATAAGTACTTTTATGTTAAATGAAAAATTGCATCTTATATTGACTTTTGACTTGCTTTAATTTTTTTTTATCTGTATGTATATGCATTCCACTGCAAGAATGGAAGATTGTAGAAAAAGAGTAAATGTTTTATATACACATATATACAATTACAATATATTAACAGTAAAACATAATTTTTGTTATGGGTATTGTGCTGCCTTTCACTGTAAATAATTCCTTTTACCTGAAAGGATTGAATGACAGTCTATTCATCATCTGAAAACTGACAAATCATAAAATCCAACTCAGTTCCTCTATATGGCAAAGGTGTTTGGATGAATACTTAATTATGCATAAAAAAATCTGCCTGAATCAAGATAAATCATAATGCTTGACTATATATTGGCAGTGCAAAATTTGGGGTTTTTAGAAACGGCATAAGTTTTATGAAATTGACATTCTTGTACTTATTTTGGATGCTGCACCAATAACTTTATAATTAGCAATAAAATGTTCTATCATTGCTAAAATTAACTTCTGCTGTCTCGTTTGATTAAAGGCTTGCTCAGTGCTAATGCCTGAATTAACTGTCCTGTATTATACCTTATCATACATATTTAACCTGCATCAAAAAAAGTTAATCATCTATGCTGACTCTCATAGTGCACTGAAAGCATTAGAATCATACCCCGACATTCTCAACCCTGTTACTGTGGAAGTTCTTAAGCTAAATTTAAACTTGTTGAAGCGTGTATCTCAGATTTTGTACTGTTGGGACGGGATATATAGGGATATAAAAGGAAACGAGCTAGCAGACATCACAGCTAAGTCTGCTATTGATATGTGCAGCCAGCTCATTCCATTTAAATATATTTGCAAGATCATCAACAGGGAAGTCCTTAATAAGTGGCAAAGCTTATGGAATGCACAGGTCAACAACAAGCTTAAATCTGTAAAACCCCCAATAGAATACTGGGACACAACTAGAAGTCAGAAAAAGGAGGTCCTTTTAACTCACCTTAGAATAGATCACTGTCGAGCTATGCATAGTTACCTTTCGAAAGCCGAGAGTGAACCTATTTGTTCAAAGTGTAATACTATTTTATCAATCTGCCATATTTTAAAAGAATGCTTATATTTTAAGGAAGTTCATTTAAAATTTTTTAGTATATATGACGTTTCTCTTCACCGCTTGATTAGGAAAGAGGTGAATGTTAACCTTTTTTCATATCTGTAAGAGATTGGATTTTATAATTTAATTTGACTTACTTAGAGCTTTTAGAAAGTTTGCATATTTTAAAGTATGTTACATAGCTAGATTTTAATTAGTTTTTCAAGTATGCATTCATCTTTCATGTCTCAGTCATTCAGCTTTTAAGTTCTTGTCATTGTGATGGTCATATTTTAATAGATTTTATGTGTACATATTCAAAATTGAATTTCTTCATCATATGTCTGGTGCATTATAACCTTTAAGGTTATGTGCCATGGAAAAAACTAATCTAACCTAACCTTGTTTGATTAAAACAATATAGGATTAATCTTAAATTGTGAGTAAAAGTTTAGTGATGATAATAGTTGTAAAAGCAATAATTAGTAGAATACGGTAACTTGTTTCAATACAGAAAGAACAATTGTATTATCGATGCTTTCCAATTATCACAATTGCATCTGTATTTCATTATTGACGTTTCTGAAGTTGTATGGATCCTAGGCTGATGAATTTTTCAGTCTTCTACTGTACATACACTCTGTGATGTGTAAATTAAAAGAAAAAAAATTGAGATATCAAAAACAATAAAGTGTTGGTTGATGATACATCATATTTATAGATATTGTGATGGCATTTATTATACATAAAGCTATATCTGGTCAGCTAAAAGAGCTTTTGTTATGGATATTAACTCATATACTATATTGGCACTATTTCCTGTTTGTACATATAAAACTTGAGTTGACATTTAACCCAGACTTGTTTTTTAGTCTATTGATATTATGCAGGGTAATTAGGCAACACTTTCTATTTTGATCAAAAGCCTCCCTTTTTTTGGTTGAAGGTTTTGAAAACAGTAACACCTGATTTCAAGTGTTAAAGGCATAAGTCCACTGCTAAAGGTAATTAAAAAAAGTACTTTTTGACTATAATCTGAAGAAATACATTGTATTTTTTTTCCTTTGATAAAAAGTATTCACTTTTAAGGGGGGAAAGTATATGTTTACGTCTGAGATTTTAAATATTTGAAATTTTTTTTTTTTTTTTGCAAACGATCATATGTGTTCATCTCCTGTTTTTATTCAGTACAAATTTATATTAAGTGTGTAAGATTATGTTAATTTCATTTAACCCGGGGGGGGATAATTCATTCAACAATCTGATTAAATCATGAAACTATTATAAGTGTACAAAAATGCATATGAGTTATAGTCATTCTGCATATTGAGATTTCATTGAAATTATCAACTAAAGAGTATAAAATTGATTAAAGTAACACTGATACAGTGTGGTGTTCTTAGAGCTACTTTGTATAACTTACAAGTAATTACTTAAACCAGCTCATAGATTAATTAATTATTTAGTTTTTTATTATCACATTAGAATCTCTATGATGACCATCCAACATTATAATACTTTATGTCAGAAATAGCAGTTACTGAGGTGATTGTGTTTCTCCTCCATATGTGGTCATAAATAAAAGTTTTCTAAATTATGGCTATGGGGTTATCATATATTAATTTTTAGACATATTTAAGTTATATAATTAATAACTAATATATGTTTATATTTTAAGTTAAATATTATTAATCTTATTGTTATTTAAGTTAAGTTTTAAGTATAATCTGTTTATGTTCTTGTATGATTCTTTCACATGTAAGCAAAACATTGCAACGAGTTGGTTCCGCTCACTAACCTCCACCCCGTTCGTAGATCATCTTCAATTACATCATCGGCTCAACTGAAGATGAATGAAGGTAGTATTGTTAATAAAAGTGAAATCAACTCTCAAACACTTAGTTCCGGTGCTGGTGAAGTGAGATATTCACCAAACTTAAGAGAATTTAGTAAAAGTAGCTCTGCACTGCCTTCACCTCAAGAAAAATTTGGCCATACATTGAGACATGTAGAAATAAATAATTCCTTTGATAATAGCAGCAGTAGTAGTTCTCCAAATAAAGACTCATCAAGTTCTGAAAATAGCATAGTCACTGATGTATCTGACAGTAGAGCTCGTTTAATACATGACTTAAATTTTGCTCTACAGCATCAACGAAAACCTGGCAACAAGAAACCAAGTCAAAACGAAGCTCCTGTTGTTCCACCGAGACACAGTTCAAAGGAACAGCATTTTCAAAACAGTTCAAAAGCTGATGATCACTGTATGGCAGAAAATGCTTTATATGGACATTGTATGAGAAAAGAAAAATCAAGTCACACATTCAGTGCTAAGCCCGTCTCATCTCAAGATATTCAGCGACAATTTCATCAGAAACCACGTTTAAAAGAATGCCTGTCTCAAGGTGATTTGTTGCAGTGCACTAAAGACTGGGATAGAACTTTTGAACAGAAAAATAGCAATGGGAATGATTTGCCAGATAATGAGAAACTCTTGAAGAGATCTTTCGTTGTAGCTCTAAATGCTAGACTGGCAGAACATCAGCGAATAGAATCACAGGAAGTTGACAAGCAGTGTGCTGCTTCTTGGCAGTTGAAAAATGACAAGAATTACCACTCATGGAATTCTAGCTTCGGCCGGTTACAACCACAGATATGTCGTGAGTCTCTGATGGACCAAATAAAACGTGGGACGCGGCTTCGGAGGGTGACGTGTAACGACCGATCTTCTCCACGAATAGCGTGACGGTTGTACGTGGTTTTCATCTGCCACATGTAGTCTGTGGTTAACTGTTCAGAAATGTAACAAATATGATTATTTGTGACATTTTATGTACATGTGATGAATGTGTGTGAAGTTTTATTGTATTTAATTTCATTGATTCTTACTATATATTTGGGAAATTTCTTTTTCCAGCTACAAGTACAATGTTTTATGTTCCCTGCTGTTTTTGTATTTTGTAATTTAGTAAAAGTTACTAAGTATTGAAGTTTGATGGAGTAATTCCCTTCCTTTGCTCACAATTGTTTGCATTTTTTCTAAAGTTGAAATATAAAAGAGTGTGTATTAGTATCTGACAAAATTCAGCCTTTGCTTGCCAATATTTCAGTTGAAAGGTCTCAGTGTGGTTTGAGAGAGGTTTCTATGGTTTAGGAAAATACTTTCAAACAAACAGGGATCATGTGAAGTTAATCCAATTAATTATTTTTTCCATCTTTTGTAAATCTCTAGTCAGAGGTGTTTAGTTTTAATAGGCAGAAATATGTTAGAGTAGTACAGTAAAGGAATACTGTTGAAGAAATGTAATGCCAATTTCATACTTCAATCTTTGCCTGCTGGAAGTTTATATTCATTTTCTCTGAGTTTAACATTTTTTTTCTTCTTTATCTATTATAGAGCTCAAGAATCATGGAACATTCCTGTTAATAAGGCAGCAGTCATCAATAAACATAGGGAAAAGAGCTGGCAACACTAACTATACATTCACTATGCACTGTTACTCAAAAATGGGATGTGTATAAATGTTTGAGAAACATTTTAAGAATTTTATGAAGTGAATAATTCCATCGAACTAGTTTTGGGTTTTTGAACATGATATTTACCGTGAATAACCACTTTTCCCCAAAGCATTCAGTCACAGATTCTTCAGAATTTAGCAGTTGCCAAATTGTAAAATTCTCCTGGCTTCCTTTGTCAAAATTTCATATAAAAAATGCATCTGGATCAAACATGATTAATCAGAACATATGATACAGTTTCCAATATAAGAGTATTATCATTAGCATACCTGCACACATTTTGGCTGCTGCCTCTTTACAGAAGAGTATCTAAATGTTTTTCTGAAAGGATATTTATTACAAGTACCAGCTTTTCTGTGAATCAATAATGAATTTTCTCACTGAATCCTTGGACAATATTTTATCTTGTTTCTTTAAAATTCCATGTAATGCTGAAATATTTTTAACTTATATATGCCTTACTTCTTTAAAGATTTGTAACTGCAATATGTAATTTTATGAAGCAAGACATTCCCTTATGTTTAGTGGAAAAATTATGTGTTTTGTGAGTGAAAGGAAGCATTTTATTCTTTTAGAGCTTATTAGATGCACAACTAAAGGTTTGACATTCTAGCATTAAGTTCCTTATTCGGTAGAATTCTGATAATTCACAGCCACTTGAATGTGAGTAATTTACTCTGATTTTTGGATGCAAACAAACAAATCTTTGGTTTCTCATAAAATTCATCATGCCAGTTTTTTTTAATACGAATATGTATATGTTGAAGCTATTAGCATTTTCTATACACGTCATACTTGTATTTTTATAGTAAACACAGATTATGAATATTCATAATTTGAATTTTAAATAAGTCCTTACTTCTGGATGAATATTCCATTAACTGAAGAAAATTAAGTTAGTTAAAAGTTAATTTAGCCACTGCTTTTCAAATGTTAAATTCAACTTCAATGCACTTCGTAGACATTTTGTTTACATTCCATACAATAAATAACACTAAGAACAAATATCAATAGATTCTTTATATTAAAAAAAACTGTAGAGATATTATTTGATTACTTGCATTATAAATGGAAGTCATGGTAATGAAGTTTAAAAACAACAGACATTTTTTTAAAAAATAAATCCAAAATTTCAATTCTATTATTTTTTATAAATTGTAGGAAGTGTTATTAAACCTGCACATAAACAGAACATAATGGTAGAATTAGTTTAAGGAATGGGATTTTGTGCACAGTGTATTTAAATTTTCATCTGTTTTTTCTTTCATACTGTTAGTGCTTCTTGAAAAAATTCTGTGTTGTTTGCTCCTTTTCTCTTGTTATATTCCACCCTTTACACTAACATTATTTTCTTTTTATATTAAAATGTATTAAAATAAAATAGTTTAATATCAAATAAATCTGTATTAGATAATTTGTAAGATATGATTTACAGACAATCCAAAAGTTAAGCAAAAATTAGAGAGGGAAGAACGTAGGCAAAACTTGGAAAGACATGACATTATAACCTGCAAAATTTTCTAATCTGCACAGATATTGGTACCAAGGGGTGCAGATTATCAGAATTCTACCGTACTATAAATTTGTATGTTTAAAATAATTTTTCTTGTATTTGAAGTTGTAAACAGAAATTTTGGATTTTATTTATCTAAATTCATTTTGCATTATTAATTGAGTAAGAATATATTTTTTGCATGTAAAGCATAGAATAAATTATGAAAATGATACCAAAAATTTTTGTTTTAAAAGAGTATTCTTAAACATGTATATAATCATGCTAGAGGATTGATTTATTTTATGTTGCTCAATTTGATTAGTTTATCGAATATTTAATTTTTAATTCAATTATGTTTGAATGTGACTATGTGTTGGAATTCAGTTTTCCTCCGTGATTTTCCCCTGTCCTGCCAATGACTGTGTGTGTCTTTGAAAACCACTCCTTGTTGTTTGTGTATAGTAAAAAGCATTAAGTTTCGAGTGCTTTTTGAAAATGTGTGCCCATGTACTTATTTACTTGCATGGTTGAAGCTCACTTTTTTATTGAATTAGCTTTTGTAAATTATCAAAAGAAAATTTTTACCTTTGCATTGCTTTTATTACTAGTATAAAAGATTTTTTTAAATTACATACAGTTTATAATCCGAATTTAATAATAGTAATGCTTACCCCTTTGGCTATTGCATGTACTTTTAATACAAGAATTTCAAAGAAATTTTGAGGAACTTTTAAATGTACAGCATATTTTAATACTTTTACTATAAAATTTTGATATTACTGTGAAAATATGTCTTTTTTTATGAATGTTTATAATTAAAATTACAGCAAACACTTTTTTTAATTAATTAAAACAATTCTTTAAATAATCCAGAACTTTATAGAAAATTTATTTTGTTATGGCAGAAATAGATTTGAACAAGACTTTTAAATTTTAAAGAGGAGGTAAAATTTTCTAGTCTTTTCGTTTTTAAATATTTTGAAAAAAAAAAAATTCCCATTTTTTATAGCATTTTTGATAGTTATTTTGTCCTTATATAATAAAGCATGTAAATAAAGCATCTTTTACACATAATGCATGGGAGAGTGCAGAAGTAGGTATATGATAGTTACTATATAAAAATATGCTGGTAATTATGATTATTACAGTAACCTTGTTAAGTCGCAATAAGAGTGACAGATTCTAATTAAATACAATTTCTTTTAAATGCTCAAATAGTCACATTGGAGTGTTTACACATTTTATTTTGATTCTCAAAATGTTAATTTCTAGACAAATTCTTGTCTAAAAAATGCTGTAGAACCCCTTTTCCTGAAAAGGAGCATAAAATCTTCATTGCTATGCTATAACCATTATGTGGTATACCTACTTTTGCTTCTTCCTGAAAACTCCTAAAAGTTTTTGTACTTGATATAGTTTCTGATATTTCATATAAAATGTTAATTCATTTTGAAATAATGCAAATTATAAGCATGCCAATATATTTATTTACTATATGAAAGTAAATAATAGTACCCAGTATTGAAATTTATGGTCTAGAAGAATGAATTTTTTTCTAATATCAGTTAACAGTGTTATTATAAAACATTATTAATATTTTTGTGTTAAAATAACCAGTAAATATTATAAAAGAAAAGTAAAAGTGTTATATAAAAGACTTTAAATTATCAAATTCATTTCAGTTTACGAAACAAGCCATAAAATTCCTTCCAAAAGTTCCATATCAGTAATGTTTGTAATATATAAAAGCATATGTTAGGCCTACTAAATTGCAGAGATGTAGTGAAGAACTTGACAAATGCATCTTCTTGAAAAATTTAATGCAAAGTTAAATTACTAAACTTGTAACATGTGAAATCAGCTTTATTTTCCCCTTTTAAGAAAGTTGGTTGTCTAAAATTACAGAGTTTTTTTAATATTTACCCAAACTTAAAAGTTGTTACCCTGACTTACAGGAATTTACCCAAGCTTATGATAAAGCTTTTTTCCCACATGCCTTTGTCACTTTTTGTTATATTTCTGCTATGCATTCACCTGATGCAATAGAGAGTTCAAGTGCTATTCAAGTGAACACTGTTATTGTTGACAACATATTATTGTGACAAGTAATGATTTGAAGACTATGGATCTAATTTTACTGATGTTTTGCCATCCACACCTGTACTGACAAACTGTTTAAAGACCAGGTGCATTACTTGTTAATGATTCATGATAGTGTTGCAAGCCTCATTACTTTTCTAATCGCTCTTATATCTTTTTGAAAGTGTAATTTTTATCCTTTATCATAATGAATTTTGTAACATTCCTATAGACTATATCCACATATGATGCTATTAAATAACAAAGCAAAACAATAATTAAACAAAAACCCTGATAAAATAATTTTTATAGTATGTAAAAAAAAATTATTATTTCAAATGAAGAAATTCTAATCGACTATGTCATGTGTATGTCATATTTTTATCAAAAATTAAATGTATATTGATGTGTTATTTATATGATGTATTCATTTTGTTTACTCTTATCATAATATTTGAATGAAAAATGGTTATTGAAATAAAATATCAAGAAAGAAATCAGTAATGTTTTCAACAAAACATCAATTTACTAAATATTACATGGCATAATTTTTAAATATTTTATGCATAATTATAAACCAATAAAATAAGGTAGTGATTTTTGAAATATTTAACGCAGTGGTTTTCAAACTGTCTTCCTTAGAACCATGAGGTATCAAACATTGCTCGTAGAAGTTTCAAGTAAAATGAAGATTTCAAAGAATTTTTTTATGCTACATAAGTGTCAAAACTGTCTAAAATGATTATGATATAATGTTTTTTTTTATTTCTGTCCTTATTATTACCTAAAATAGTATGTTTATATAAGTAAAATTTTAATAAAATAATGATTTTCATTTTCTGCACAAATTAGAGATTACATTGATATATTTTCAATGCTTTTCTGCTCCTCCTCTGAGGTTGATTGGAGTTTTATAAGGAAACTGTATATTTATGGTTTTATAGGTTTCGGAAAAGGAAATTAAAGTTCTAAGAGTTCTGTAAGTCAATAAAGTTTGAAAACCACTGTTTTAAAGAAGTATCTGCATTAAATTTAGGGCATTATAATATTGTATACTAATAAATGCTTACCATTAAACATTTTGTTTAAGAGCTCATATTAGATAAAGGTTTTTAGATAAAGTATTTGAAAGTATTGTAATTCATCAAAACATCTAATTCCCCTCTTAAACTTTTGAGCAGAAATTTGATCAATATTTCATGATTTAATGACTTTTCCATCTTATAAATAAGGGAACAATGTTAATAATTGTTTAAATGTTAACTACATTGAAATTTTGAAGTATTTTTTATGTGAATACTTATATATATGCCCTTCCTTTTTTGCATACCATAAAAATGCTGCACTCTGCTTTCAGCTTTAGTTTTCACAATCCTATGTGAACTTTACACTCAGTCTTAGAAATTAAATTCCAGAAATGTGTGTGATCAGAATAGGAATAATGTAGTACTAGTTGATATGTAGTAGTTACCTGTACTTAGCTTAGAATTTATGTGATATTAAAGATGGTCATTAAGAGAGGAAGCCCAGGAATCTCTATTCAAATGGATTTGGTTAAGAGAAAATTACCTTATTGTTAATGTTCTGCATGTAAAATTGTTTTTTCTTATGATGGTAGTTATTGAATTATATTGTAGAAATAATGGTAAAATTTAGGTTTTTCTATTTTAACTACTTATCCTTTTTTTTTTAATCCAAAAATAGTAATAACTTTTGAAATATGATTAATAGCAACAGGAGTTTCGTTTTTGAATGTAATATACAAATAATTCTACATACAAAAATCAGGAAAATTTAACTGGTATTTTGTTTTTGAGAAATACTGTACATTTTGATGAACCGATCTGTCCACTTCTAAAAAAATTTAAAATATTTTATCCATGACGTTGCTTAAATTAAAGAAATAAAAATGATTGAAACAGTAATTATAATTCATTTATTGAATAGAATAGAATACTTGATTGGAATAATGGGATATATGCAGTTGTTTTTCTTTATTATTGAAGAAATGCAATAACTTTTTGTAAAATGTATGCATTCTGTGTGTAGTTTAATAATCATTAGCATGCATCAGCATATCTTGTTAAAGTAGATCTGTTAAATATCTCTTAAGAATTCAAAACATTTGGTTAGTAAAAAATTATATGATATAGTGGAAAATTTCTTAATCAAAGGAGAGTTAAAAGAAAAATGGGAAAGTTGAGAACTACTTTCTAAGGACCTTCTGACAGTTGAGAAATGATAATATAGATTTCTGCATTTCATTATAAATTAAAGTTTTTATAATGCTTTTTATGATGTATTTTTTTTTAGTTTTTGTAACTTTGTTACATTCATTTGTAAATTTGTGAATTTTTCCTTGAAAAGATTCATAAATTACATTTAGAAAAAGTTTTAAAAAAATTGACCTTTTCTTAAAAATAAAGCATAACTTTTTTTTAATGTAAGTTTTAAATGAAGCATTGTTGAAAAAGGAATATGGTCGTTAAGAAATGAAATTTTGTTTATTTCAGATAAATTTTTTCGTCAATTTCAAATCAAAATTGATTGATTAAAATGTTTTTTATTTAGAATAATAATAAAATTAATTTAGTTAAAATTGTAATTAAAGTAGTATTATAAAAATAAAAATATATCAATCATATTTTGTAAATTTTTATATTAAGATTAGAAATCAAAAGTTAGGTAAGTAAGAAGCTTTTGTAACGTGCATTTGATTTCAGTTTTTATTTTGTAAAGTTTATCTGTTCTAGGGAATTCTTTATAGTTTTGTAATTCACTTATTATAGAACCTTACATTTAGCTTTAAACTGACATGTAGCTGTCAATGCTGTAAAATTCAAACCTTGTAGAAAAATTCTAGAAATATCTGTAGAAACATTTGATGGAAATTTAATCATGTTAATGTAAATCATTTATCATTATAGTCTTTATGAAAATTTTATGTGGTTTCATAAAAATTACATGCCTGAATGTAATAGTTAAACTCACAATAAGAGAATAGTAGGTAACTTTTAGATAACTATAATAATCATGAGGTGGTATTGATAGCATTTATTCTGGAGCCTTTAATTTCTTGTAGTAGAATTCTTTAGACCAAATAACCCGCAAATGAGATTTTTTAGATGTAGTAGAATTTAGTCTATGTTCATTACTTATATTCTTATTATTAAGATATTTTAAACTAATGCTATTATTTTTGATATTTCTTGAAAGAAAGAAAGAATGAAAAATTGTTTTATGTTCGTATATTTCTTGAAATATAGTATATATATATTTTTTTTGAAAGAAAATATGGAACACATGTATTAACCGATAGCTGCCTATATACCATCTTTTAACGATAAAATATATTTCGGCATCAAGAAAAAAAAACTTTTTTTTTTTTTTTAAATTTAAATTCCGACTTTTAAATATTTCACTTGGTTAGGTTTATTTGTTTATGGCAAAGGAAGAATGTCTTTGTGAAATATTTTTTGAGGGCAACTGGTTCATATCCATGTTACACATGTAAAAAACCACGAAAAACCCCCATGCAGCCAGCTGGAATTTTTTAGCAAATAACCATATGGCTGAAAATAATGAATTGCTTCTGCTCCATGTGTTGGTAAATTTAATAAACGCATGATGCAAAATGCAGTAAAACGTAACATGAGACGAATACACGATGTGCTTAGAATTTCGTGCGCGGAAAGGGTTACCAAAAAAAAAAAAAAAAAAAAAAAAGATGCATCGCAGAAATGCTGTTACTCAAATCCATCTGAAGTTGACCTTTTAGTCGAGGTTACATTACTATGTTTCATTTTTCATGATGCCACTGATTAATAGTTTGCTCAAAAGCAACTATTCCTTACTCCATTTGTATCTTCTTTTCTCTAATTTCTGTAGATCCAGTGACGTCACTGAATTTGAGCGTTTGAAAAGAAATTAACCTTTCTTGTCTACTAGCCATAAATTAAATGAAAAGAAAGCTACTTTCCTCAACCTCCATGAGATTTGGTTTGGTTTGGTTTATTTGATTATGGCAAAGCACTCGAAGCCGTACGGTAGGAATCTACCTAAGAGGAGGAATGCCATCATGTAAGGCTTTCTGAGGAAAACTGGCTCTATACACGTTACCCATGGGGTAAATTACGAAAGCGCCCATGCAGCCAGCTTGTTCACGGGAAGTCGAACCCCCGACCGAGCGACCTTTACCGCTCTTCCATTGGTGCCTTACCCTGTCAGAAATCTGATAGGATTCAGAGCAGCTTTAAGGGATGCCGAACGCTGACAAGAATCATAGTCATGGTGGTATTTTGGCAATGTATTGGCTGATACAGAAATAAGGAAAATGCAAATGAAATTTTCAATAAAAAGTAAAATGTTTATCATCTAGTAAGTTCTCACTTTAAGATGACATTTACTAGAATCAATTGTGTTTCTCAAAAGCATAAACAATTTTTTTAAATGTAAAAAAAAAAAAAAAAATTATATTGCGATGCTACTTTTGTTATAAAAATTTTATTTAATTAGTTCTGTACTATTATGAAAGTTGCAATTGCATTTTTTGTGGAAACTATGAATATTTTCTTGATTTTACTGATATATATTGCAGACACTGATAGAGCTTAGAAATACAAATTGTGCTTACCAAATATGTTCAAATGGTAATCCTAATACAAAAGTACTGACCTAAGACTGTGATATCAATCAAGCCGTTTTCGGAATTTGAAGTCGGACAATTATGTTTAGTAGTTTTGTTGACCAAGACCGGTGACCGTTTTAGAGTGAAAGTACGAGCGTATACTAACTAAGGTAATTTTAACTTTGCGAATACTAACTAAGGTAAAAAATAAATTATGTGAGAGTGATGGAATGTTGAATAAATGAGATTACGTTGTTAACTTCTTTTATATTACATATACTGTGGGTCTGTAAATCAACCATTTCTTTTACGAAAAAGTTCGCAAAGCCTAACTTAAAAAATGGATTATTTGCATAATATGTAGAAACATATTTATTTTTTCATATTAAATAGGTAGATTAGAATGTTTACTGCGCCTTAAAAATGGCTGTTGTATAATTTCGAAGAGATTGTAGCCACCTAAATCTTCAAGCTTTCTGTATACAGTCAAAAGTCGTTAATTCGGACACCCATAATCCGGAATGATCTATAATCCGGACCTCAAAACTACAACTTTCTGCGCATGCGTCGCGTTGACGCATGCGCATAGGCGTTTACGTGCGCGTGTAAGACCTTTACGGCTGCGAATATGCTTGTGCGCATGCTCATAAAACGCTTACGCATGCGCGTTTAATGCATAACGGACGGTGTAAGCTAAGTTAAAATTATGTAATTCAGTTAATGTTGCAGATTGCGTTGTTCCTTAATCTTCGAATTGGATCCGGCTTATTATTTTTTGCAGACTGTTTTTATAAAATTGCAGAGCAATTTTATAAAAGTAAGCTTAAACTTTCGATTATATCAAATAGAATTTCCGATATATATTT